AGCCCGTGCCCCCAGTGATGCCCGTCTGCGTGCCGCAGGCAGTGAACCCGGGCCTGGGCTAGGGCAGAGAGCATTGCGTGGAGATCTTGCAACTGCTTCATGACTGGTTTGTCCTTTGCCATACAAAACCTATGGGGAAATGTTTTTAGTCCTTTACACAACCAAGGGGGGTGTTTCCCCCTCTGCGTGCTCACTGTCCCTTTGGTGCTTTGCCTGGGAGATGAGGTCGAGGAGGGGAATTGTGCCCCTCTGCTGCGCTCTGCTCTGGGGAGACCCCCCTGCAGTGCTGCCTCCAGCTCGGGGGGTCCCACCAGCAGAAGGAGACGGAGCTGTTGGAGCGGGGCCAGAGGAGGCCCCGGAGATGCTGGGAGGGCTGGAGCCCCTCTGCTGGGAGGTCCGGCTGGGAGAGTTGGGGGGTTCAGCCTGGAGAAGAGAAGGCGAAAAAGGGGAGAGCTCAGAGCCCCTTCCAGTGCCTAAAGGGGCTCCAGGAGAGCTGGGGAGGGACTCTGCATCAGGGAAGGGAGCGATGGGATGAGGGGAACGGTTTTACACTGAAAGAGGGGAGAGTTAGACTAGATATAAGGAAGAAGTGTTTTACACTGAAGGTGGTGAGCCCCTGGGGCAGGTTGCCCAGAGAGGTGGGTGATGCCCCATCCCTGGAGGTGTTCAAGGCCAGGCTGGACGGGGCTCTGAGTGACCTGATCCAGTTCAAGAGGTCCCTGCTCATGGCAGGAGGGTGGACTAGATGGCCTTTAAATGTCCCTTCCAACCCAAACGATTCTACGGTTCAGTGAGTCCATTCTATGATTCTATGAGATGCAGCCAAAGGCCCTGCGTGGCTGGCAGGCAGCGGTGGGACAGTTGCCTGTGCTGCATTCAGACGTGGCGAAGGAGAAACAGCTGTGGTCGCCACGCTGGCTGCATCCACAGACTGCTACTTCTGCCCAAGGACTGTGGGCAGCGGTGGGCTCAGGCTGCTGGGCGGACCTGGGAGGTCAGGAGTGGCTTCACAGCTCTGTACGGAGAGCTTCAAAGATCTTTGTTGTCTGAACACAGCTCTAGCAACCCAGTAGCTATGGGGTTTACTGGAGGTCTCCCCAGCCATGCTGAGTTTTTCCAGATGTTGAGTTTTTCTGTTCTGGACTGGCTGGCAGAGCTTGTTCACCAGTATCAGGCGGCTCAGAGAGCCCACAGCATATGGGGAGCACCACGCAGCATAGAGCCTCCGTTGCCGCCATCCCTTGGCAGAAGTGGTTGGATTTATAATTTTCTGTGGTGCTGTAAAGATGAATGGAGAGTGTAAGAGTGCGGTGGAGTTCCAAGGAGGAAGGCGCAGGGCAAACACGCTCCTGTCTGAACAATCTGTAATGCTATTTATGTCAGTAATCAATGTAGACTTGGGTATGGTGAACAACAGTAAGAACCTCTTTAAAATTCAGCCGCCTTTCGCGGGGAGGAAGGATGGTCCATCAACGGACTGACTTGCATATGAGGCTTAATCTTAAAATACATCCTTGTGCTCTAAGCCCTGCATGTTATCAAAGCTGTTTTGG